CGTCGGGGAGGCACAGCTTCCCCATAATTTTGAGGTGAAAATGGGAGGAGGACGATTTAATGTTAATAAAATTCACAATTCATTTGAGTTCATGTCTCAGAATGTGTATTTTTTCTTTGTAATTTCACAGTTGTAACATCATAACATGAAAGCGGCGCTTTTCTATCACGAACGTGCCGAATCTGCTGATGTAATTACAACCGCTAATGATAGAGAAGAGGAGGGGGAGGTCGGGGGAGAGCTGAGCTCTCGTGCCTCCACTGGTAAAAAAAATAAGCCAATCAGCATCGAGTGTTCACTTTCAGCGCTGAGGAGTGTTGATAAAAGAAACCTCGTAAGGGAGGCTAGCCTCTTTCTGATATCAACCAAGCATCACAGAGACGTAAATTACGTCATATTAGTTTGAACGTCTGCCGCTGCGCTGATAATGTACCAAGTACTTATGATGAGCAGCGATATTGAATATCTGAACAGATTTACCAAGCTGTCATTCAAACAGTATATATACAAATTTAGGGAAAACAGCCAAAGCTGGATATAGGTTACAGCAGTCGGCTTAATTAAATGTCACAACAAGCAGCTCTCTTTTAACACAGACTTTTAAGAAGGGATGGATGTTTTCTTCAAATGATAGGCCAGGTAAGTGAAATTATATTATCTTGCTGTATGTATGTCGTTTTCTTTACCTTTTCTGACTAAAAGCAAGCAAAAAGCCATTTTAAAGTGGTTAAGCAAATAATATAATAATAATAATCGGCAGGGATCCCAGACCAATACATTTAGTGTGCCTCCTCTATTTTAAAACCCACGAGCCGCCACTGCCCCTTTCAAACAGTGTCACGTTCCAAACGTTATTTAAGTGGCATACACCGGTATTGCGGTATTTTAAAAATTAATATCATAACAAAAATAAACACCGGTATTCGGTATGAACCAGTATACCGCCCAGCACTAAGCCAGAACCTCTTCACAGGTCTGCCAAGCTCTCTCAGACTGACCAGCTGAAGTTCAGTATGATCTGAAATGTTTTCGTCTTTCGGCTTTTCAGCTTCCACTGATGTTTAAAGATCCCATGTGAATCTGTTATTATCCGTTATTATCCCATGGGTATCCATTATTACTAATACCATAAATGTCTGAATTTCCAATCTAAAACATTCGACTAATTGTAAGCTGATAATATTTTTACTGTTTAACAATTATAATTGTTGTTACAACACACACTCTCTAATCTTAAAATGTTCATGTTGAAGGTTCTTGGCGTGAGATGGAGTTTGATTTACTCATATTTCTGAGTTTCATAAATACATTTTTAAAAGTATTAAAACAATGTTGGTATGTTTGATGATTTTTATTTTTATTAATGTTAATTGAATGTTTAATGCATATAAAACACACTTCTTTTGCATTGACAAATTGTGGTGTGGTGCATTTCATCATATAGTGTAACACTATATAATTTGGTGTGACAATCAGAATTGTGGCAATAAAAATACTTTTTTTGTTATAAACCATAAAAAAGTCAACGGAACAAAAAATAAATAGTATAAGCAAGATTCACAAGCATTTTGTTAGATTTATAACAGGGTTTGTCAGAATTATTCTAAAATGTCTGGAAAGGCTGATGAGAGATGTCTTACTCTGAAAAAGAATACAAAATCTAATGGATCTGTACAAAATAATTTTAAATCTTAAGATAGTAATGATAAAGATTTACTTAGGGAGAGTATATCCCAATTTCATTT